TTTATTTATTTATTTTTAAAAATATATATTTTATTGATTTTTCTTACAGAGAGGAAGGGAGAGGGATAGAGAGTTTGAAATATCGATGAGAGAGAAACATCGATCAGCTGCCTCCTGCACATGTCCCACTGGGGATGTACCCGTAACCAAGGTACATGCCCTTGACCGGAATCGAACCTGGGACCCTTGAGTCCGCAGGCCGAAGCTCCATCCACTGAGCCAAACTGGTGAGGGCCCCCTTTTCTTAAAAAAAATTTTTTTTTATTGATTTCAGAGAGGAAAAGAGAGGGAGAGAGAGAAATATCCATGATGAGAGAGAATCACTGATCGGCTGCCTCCTGCACACCCCTCGCTGGGGATCGAGCCCGCCCGAGGCATTTGCCCTGTCCGGGAATTGAACCGGGACCTCCTGGTTCATAGGTCAATGCTCAACCACTGAGCCACACCGGCTGGGAGGAAACCCCTTTCTATGCTCCTGCCCCACCTGACCTTTACCTCTTGCTCCTCGTTCTTCCTTGCTGGCCTCCTCCCATCCCTTTCCCTCTCCCAGGCTTGGAAGGAGGAGAGATGGACGCAAGGCAAGGGAGATGAGGTCCAGGCTTTTGTTAAGGGGCAGAGATCTGGAATCTCCTGATCTGGGTTCCCTCCCACTCTGTGCCGCCGTGGGCTGCGAAGCATCAGCTCAGGAGGGCGCGGGTTCAGCCAAAGGTGTTTGCGTGAGACCAGGGGGTTGGAGGACCAGGTGGGCGGCGTGAGAGGCCGTGGGAGGAGGGCGGCAGGCGGCGGCTCTCTCCTCCCGGGAGGAGTTCTGAGTCGGGCATGGAGGTGTCCCAGGCTCGGGCCCAGCTTTGCCTTCACGTCCAGGATCCTCAGCACAAACAGCTTCCACCTCCCCCACGGCCCCTCCCCGCCCCCACCTCCCCTAAGAAATGTGCAGCCCGAGCCAAGGTTTTCTCTTTGGCTCCACTTGGAAGGGCGAACCTTGTGGGCTTGAGATGAAACATATGCTGCTCTGGAATGTGGCTCTCCGCCAAGGGAATGCTCAGAGGCCCCTGCAGAATTTGCAGCCATCTGCCCGGGGTTGAGTGGATGAGGGGTGGGAGTGGGGGGGTGGGGGGAAGGGGTTAGGAGGGATGGGAGGAGGAGGTGTAACAAACCATTTGGGGCTGAGAAAGAGCAAAGGAAGCTGAGGGCACCTTCCTTCTCCTCCCCCCGCCCCCCTACTTAGGACCAGTGCTTCTTTCAACATTCGAGGGGGTTTCAATGTCCTGGATTCCCTTCCCCGGGGAGCCCCAGAGCCAGGCTCAGCCTCAGATGCCGTGGGCCCAGGCCACTGGCTCCAAAGCAAACAGGTGCTGATTACGGGGGCCTTTTTGCATAATCTTCATATGTCATTCACTTCCTGCCAAAAGACACGAGCCGTGTCCCCTGGTCCCGCCATCTTCCCCGGAGGACCCCCACATCCTCTGCTCTCCCTCTCCAACCCCATCCGGCATATTGTCCTTGAGCCTCGAGGCTCTCGCCAACCCCTCTCTTTAGCTCCGCCCGTCCTCACAGGCCCTGGTGGCCCATCAGGAACCTCCCCCCATCCCCATCCCCCCCACCGTTGGACGAATCCCTGGTGCTCCGGCTGCCTGCTCAGGCGGCCCTGTCCTCGGCCTCCATGAAGCTCAGAAATAAAGGTGCTCCTTGAAGTGGGGTTCTCTCCCCGCCCCCCTTTTTTAAAAAAATATATTTTTTATTGATTTTTTACAGAGAGGAAGGGAGAAGGATAGAGAGTCAGAAACATCGATGAGAGAGAATCATTGATCAGCTGCCTCCTGCACACCCCCTACTGGGGATGTGCCCCCAACCAAGGTACATGCCCCTGACCAGAATCGAACCTGGGATCTTTCAGTCTGCAGGTCGAAGCTCTATCCACTGAGCCAAACCAGTTTCGGCCTGAAGTGGGGTTCTTGGCCCCCTCCAGAAACAGAACTCCTGGCTCAAGGTCAGCGCCATTCCCAAGGTCAACTTAAATGAATGCGTAATCTCAATCAATAAGCTATGGCATTAAGTCATCTCCAAGGACCTTTCCAACCTCTAAGAATTCCTTAAGCTCATCTCCTTGCCCACCTGCCCAGAGCCGTTTCCCAGAAAGGCATAGAACACAGCTCTTGGGCCCATGACTTTTGTGGGGTCTCTGCCAGCCACCTCGCTCCCAGGACAATCCCCCTTCCCTGTGGATTCGGCCCTGCCTCAGGCTTCCAGCCTGGAGGGGGCCAATTGCCAGAACGTAGGTTTGAGGGGACACCACAGTCGGCACCGCCTGATTTGGCTCGAGGACTCCGGGGTTTTGGAAGGAGGGACAGACCCCAAAGCTCACCCCACGCCGGCTCCAGGCAGAGAGAGGCCCGTCCCCCTCGGGACGCCCCGGCACCTCCCATCTGGAAGACAGAGCCGTGTCTCACAGCGGCGCTCCATCTGCCAGCCAGATGAGCGGTACCTGTAAAACGCCCCCCGTCAAGCCTCACGGGGGCTCCTGCCTCTTCCAGAGCCTGCTGACAGCAGGAAAAACGATCCCAGAACTCTGCTCCCCTAAGGACTCGGAGATGCTTGCCCCGGAGGACAGGGCGGGAGTCCGACGTCTGCAGGCAACCCGGGAGGGGCTGGCTGCAGCCGAGATGGCCAGGGCGGACAAGGGCGAGGGAACAAAGGCAGATTCTCAACAAGAGGTCCCTCCCTCTCTTGTAATAAAAACCCCTCCCGTTCGTGGGGTGCCTTCAGCTTTCCAGGCCCTTTCCAGACATTACTTCACTTAATCTCACAGCCCCGTGGACTATGTACTTTCCGCCCTGGCCGGTGTGGCTCAGTGGATAGAGCGTCAGCCTGCAGACTGAAGGGTCTCAGGTTCGATTCCTCATGAGGGCACGTACCTCGGTTGCAGGCACATCCCCAGTAGGTGGTGTGGAGGAGGCAGCTGGTAGATGTTTCTAACTCTCTAGCCCTCTCCCTTCCTCTCTGTGAAAATTCAATAAAATATATTTTTTTAAAAAAATGTACTTTCCCTCTGTGCCCAGAGGAGGACCCGCAGCTCTAGGGGAGAGGAGAGGGTGAGGCGGTTCTCAACGATCATAGGCCCGCCACCCTGCTTAGTGTCCCCGGGAAATGGAGCTGGCCTTCCAGATTCTGGGAGGCCACTCCGGGGCAGCACTGTCACAAGTGAGTTCAGCCCGGCCGGTGTGGCTCAGTGGTTGAGCACAGACCCATGAACCGGGGGGTCACAGTTGGATTCCTGGTCAGGGCACATGCCCAGGTTAGAGGCTTGATCCCCAAGGTGGAGCGTGCAGGAGGCAGCCGATCCATGATTCTCTCTCACCACTGATGTTTGTCTCTCTCTCTTCCCTCTCCCTTCCTCTCTGAAATCAATAAAAAGAAAAAAGAAACACACACATACACACACACACACACACACACAAAACTGAGCTCAAAGAGAGTAAGTCAGCTCCAAACCTCAGGCGTGGCTCTTGGCACCGGCGCCGAAGGCTACAGGCAGAGTTCCTGAGAGTAACACACGTGTCTCTCCTAATAAACACGCCAAGGAGTGGCTGGCCAAACCACGCGCCGGGCCTCCAGCGCAGCCCCGGGGAGCCGCGCACTTTCGGGGCCAGTGTTGCTCAATGCGTTGACGCCTCCCTGGCACAGGCCTTGGGGCGGTGGCACATTCCTCTGACAGTCTTCAGTGGTGGCAAACCTCCCTCTTCGTCCCCTGGGGCATCTCCATTGCGGGGGGGGGGGGGGGGGGGGGGGGGGGGGAAGAGCGGTGTCCAGAGAGCCAGAAGTCATCTCAGACTTGGGTGAGAAGTCAAACCAGGTTGTATTCTTTGGGGGATCCAGGCGAGGTGTGACCCTCATGCAGAAAAGTGTTGTGGACAACAGAGGGGCGCTCTTGGGGTTCGGCTGAGAGATGAGCCAGCCCCACAGCCGCCAGAACGGAGAGATCGGAAGGTTCTGTGTCGGGAGAGACCGGATCAAACCCAAGCAGGGCGTAAGTAGAAACACACATGGTTCCATAAAGTGGCCTGGGAAAGATGCCACGTTAATAAAACGGGGAAACGCAGAGGAATGTGTGAAGAGGGAGCCTTTACGAACATGGAAGCGCCCCATAAACTCAGCTCGGCGAAGGCTGCCCTGCCGCCCCGTCACGGCTCCAGTTTGTCCTTCCTTAAGCTCAGGAAGAGCCTTAGGGACACTGGGCTGTTGGTGGCGGCGGCAGAGGATGGAGCTGAACACCTGGCCCAGGTCTCCCCTTTGCTGGTGCTCTGGGTGAGCCTGCCCAGCCACTTCTCTCCCAGTGAGCCTCTGGGCCCGACTGCCCCTGAATAATGATGTTCCACCAGGAATGGATTACAAGTACTTCTATCTGTCTTTTTTTTTTTTTTTCTAATATATTTTATTGATTTATTTATTTACTTTTTTACAGAGAGGAAGAGAGAGGGATAGAGAATTAGAAACATCGATGAGAGAGAATCATCAATCAGCTGCCAACACTCTATCCAATGAGCCAAACCAGTTTCGGCTGTCTTAAAAACAAAACAAAACAAAACAAAAAAACCACACACACACACACACACACATATATACATATACATATATATATATATATATACATATATATATATATATATATTACTGATTTCAGAGAGGAAGGGAGAAACATCTATGATGAGAGAGAATCATCGATCAGCTGCCTCCTGCACGCCTATACAGGGGATCGAGGCTGCAAACCTAGGCGTGTGCCCTGAACGGGAATTGAACCGTGGCCTCCTGGTTCGTAGGTCAACGCTCAACCACTGAGCCACGCCGGCCTGGCTAATACTGCAATCTTGACAGGCCAGGATGCTCGGTGCAAGGGCAGGGGTCCGAGTGGATCCGGTGCAGCAAGGACCCCTGTTTGCATGTGGTGTATTCTAAAACAATATCTATGCACTAGAAGTCATTTTCCCCTTCAGGTCCCCACATTGGCCTCGGGGCTCAAGCAGTCTGCTGGCAGTTGGCCAACGCCTTATCGTGTTTCCAGGCTCCCAACAAACAGAAAATGGGCTTGAATGGTTAGCTCTCAGGTGGAACTTCCTGAGAATCAATAAGCAGAAAAGCATGCGCCCACAGCACTGGAGAGGGAAGGAGAGCTGGTCTGTGCCCTGGAGGAGCTCGGGTTTAAGGAGTAGGTGGGAGCCCGCTCAGTGAATAGAATGTCGGTCTGCGGACTGAAGGGTCCCAGGTTCGATTCCGGTCAGGGGCATGTACAATAGTTTCGGACACATCCGCAGTAGGGGGTGTGCAAGAGGCAGCTGGTCGATGATTCTCTCTCATCGATGTTTATAGCTCTCTATCCCTCTCCCTTCCTCTCTGTAAAAAAAAAAAAAAAAAAAAAAAAAAAAAAAATCAATAAGATATATTTAAAAATGTATTTAAAAAAGGAGTAGGTGGGAGAGGTATTGACATGAGCAGGAGAACCAACTGGACAGAACCGATGTGCAAAGGTAAGTGCATTGGCAAAAACGAGCAAGTGAGCCCTTCGTGTTCAGGAAGCTGGAGAGGAGGACACACGGGAATGAGTAGACTGGGGAGAGTCTCATGGCCTCACTCCCAACAGCTCTGGGGAGAAGTGACGCCGAGAGAAAGCCTAGGGTTGCCGTGGAAATGGAGCTGGCGGGGGGCAGGGGGGCAGATTTGAGCTTGGGGGACAGCTGGGCTCAGGACATAGGCAGTCGGACGTGTCTTGCGGAAGCGGAGGGCTCCGATCACTGCGAGTTGCACAAGCTGTCTGTGCAAATGGCCTGGCTGGGGGAGGACCGTTAGGAGAGACTCCTGTTGGCGCCACTACGGACTGAGAGAGGTGACTCTCTCTAGCCTCAAAGGTTTCTGAGACTGAGCTGTTGTCCTGCCTCGAGACCCAGGCACCCTCGATCCGAAGATCCCTTCCAGCCTGGGAAGTCTGAGGCGGTGGTGACATGTGCTCACACCCCACCCCTGGCATCTGGGGTGTGTGATCAGATGCAGAACCGGACGGATGGTCTTTGCTGAGGAATCTGTGCTGATACCCAAGGAGCAGGAAGCAGCTGAGATGCCTCCAGCTAATGCTGCAACACGAATACCCTCTGAAAGCAGGCTCCAGCCAGAACCTGACAGGACCGGCATTGTTCCGTGGACAGCTGGGAGCAGCTGCAGTGCCCCTGGTCCCCCCAGCGCAGGCTCACAGACATCCGGTGAGATCAGGGAAGTGCCGGCCTGTCTGGGGTGGTATCAGGGTTGGGCAATCGTCGCTGGACAATGAGAATCAAGGACAGAGGCCTTTAGCAGCTTAGATTCTTACCTAAAACAGATCACAAGGACCTGGTGTGGAAGGAGCCAGGAATGGGGGAACCCCTGGGGTGGAATTGGGGTACAGCGTCCTGCTCTCGTCTTGGGAGGAGCCAGCCCACGCTCCTGAGGGCATTAACGTGTAACAGGCCAAGTCATTTTCCTAATACTTGTGGAAACTGCTCCCTCACCCACCCCCTTCACCAAGAGGGAGCCCAATAGAAACTGAATCAAAGAATCACATCATTTTAGAGGCAGGCATGACCTCAAATATCATCCAATGTATTACTTCACATTATAATGCCTAGAAAGTGAGGTGACCTACTCATTGGTGGCAGAACCTAAACCCTGGATCTCTTGTGTGTGTGTGTGTGTGTGTGTGTGTGTGTGTGTGTGTATATATATATATATATATATATATATATATATATATGTATATATAATTGATTTTTTTTTACAGAGAGAAAGGGAGAGGGATAGAGAGTTAGAAACATCGATCAGCTGCCTCCTGCACACCTCCTACTGGGGATGTGCCTGCTACCGAGATACATGCCCTTGAGTGGAATAAAACCTGGGTCCTTTCAGTCTGCAGGCCGATGCTCTATCCACTGAGCCAAACCGGTTTTGACTGGACCTCTTCCTGAGGGCCAGTGGCCAGCCCTTGGCTTCTCTGGTGAAGCCACTCCATCTGGCTCTCGGAGGCTGGTCTGGGTGAAGACCAAGGCGATAGGGGCAGCAATGGGACAGTATAGCGCGCACATTCCCACACAAAGGGATCGCCATACACTCAAGGTGCAAGGCTAGAGGCGCGTGAGCTTTGCCGTCTTGGGGGAGGGGGCAGTGGTGGGCAGAGTCTGAGACCTCGCTTTGGGTTCCTATTCTACCAGTAGCTCACCAAGCCACTGGGAAAACACGAGGCTCTCTCAGCCATGACCTATTGACTTGTTAGATGGGGCTACACGTCCCGGAGGATTCCTGCGGGAAGTCACCCACGGAGAAGTCCTTTGCACACAGGAATGGGCCCCACCCCTGCTAGGTGTGACTCTGTTTCTGGGGTTTGTCCAGGCCTGGGCGGTTGAGTGTGGAGGCTGGAGTGGTGATGGCCCGGATTCTCCTACGTCTCGGAAGGAAATCCATAATTGGCAAGAGTTTCAACTCCATCTTAGACACGTTCCGATTCAGCAACAGGAGCCGAATTACGTGGGGCAAGACCCAAGTCAAGGCTGGAAGTTGGGCCAGGCAGTGAGGAGCCTGCCCAGCCTCAGTTTCTGTGCCCTGAGTCCTGGCCTTCCCTGAGGGGGTGCCCCCTACAGAGGGAGCCAAGGCTGGTACAGTCTCAATCTGAATGGATTCCTCTCGGCTGTCTGGGGGGGAGGGGTGGACTCAGGAGAAGAGGCGAGAAAAAGGGGGCCACCAGCTACCAGGCCCGTGGGCTTTGGCCACGGCCACTTGGACAGAGGGACCCACAGCATTCTCTCTAGCGGGCTCAGCGGCACTGCCCTCCTGACTTTTGGTCCCAGCCTTGGGTGAGACGTTCCAGCCCAGGCATTCAACTAGGGGAGCCGCCCGGGGTACACGGAAAGGGAGGCCTCTGCTGTGATGGAGCCCAGAGCTAGGGCTTCTCATAGGTAAAAGCCCTGCTGTGCAGGCTGAGGTCATCGCTGGCACAGGCTCCCACTCGCTGCAGACGCCGGCAGGTCTGTTTTAATATCTGCAGCAGCCACATTCCTGAGCAGGGTGGGGACGAGACTTTCTGGACAAGACTGCTTTCCATCAGAATTTATTCCAATGCACCCGGGTCAGCTCTGAGAGAGAGAGAGAGAGAGAGAGAGAGAGAGAGAGAGAGAGAGAGAGAGAGAGAGAGAGCGAGCTGGGTTCCTTTGTGTCAAGGAAGAAAATAAAATTCAGTGAGAATGACTCAAGGCAGGAACCAGAAGCAAGGTCCTGAGGGCTGGAGAAGGGAGGAGAGGCTTGGGGTTCCAAGCAAGGGAGAGAAAGGGACAAAAGATACAGGCAGAGGGGGGCTGAGCTGAGAAACAGCCCTCCTTCCAGCTCCAGCCCAGCCCAGCCATTCTCAGACCTTGTCATCCATCCATCCCCAGACCTCTGCTCTGGGGCCAAGCGCCGTGCTGGGGAGACAAAGCAGTTGTATTAGCCGTCTCTTTCTGGGTAACAAATTACCATACGACTTAGTGGCTTAAAACAACACATGCTGATGATCTCATGGTTTCTGGGGGCCGGGAGTCTGGGTGCAGCTTGGCCAGGGCCCCTGCTCATGGTCTCTGGTAATCAGGGTCTGACCAAGTCTGGGCCTTATCTAAAGCTCCATTGGGAACAATCTCCTTCCAAGCTCACATGGTAACTTAGCAGAACTCAGGCCCTCACGGGCTGCTGGACAGAGGGCCTCCCTTCCCAGCTGGCTGGGAGCCGGACCTGCCCTCAGCTCCTCGCCACGTGGCTTCTCCTCGGTGGCAGCTTGCTCATCCATGTGTGCAAGCGGAGAGGTCACAGAGAGGTCAGCTGGCAGGTCGGAAGTCACCACAACGTGATGTAGTGAGAGGGGCGACATCTCAGCACTTTGCCATGTTCCGTTGAGTACAAGCAAGGCATGGATCCCGCCCACACTCATGGGGAGGGGTTTGCACGGAACTTGAATAGCAGGACACAGGGACAGTCAGGGACCCTCTCAGGGTTGGCCTGAGGCAGGGTCAGATTGTCAACAACGATAGAGAAGAACGGCAATGACCGAAAGTGCATGTTTACAGTGCTGGCAAGAATGGCGCTAGGGTTGTTTAATACACACTTTTGTGGTTTTTTTTCTCTATTAAGTGGGTACCATGACTGTCTTCTTTTTTAGGTGAGGAGAGAAAATATAGTAGTGAGTGATCGATGAATGTTTTTTTAAAATATGTTTTTATTGATTTCAGAGAGGAAGGGAGAGGGGGAGAGAGAGAAACATCAATGATGAGAGAGAATCATTGATTTGCTGCCTTCTTTGCTCCCGTCACTGGGGATAGAGCCCGCAACTCTGGCAAGTGCCCTGAGTAACCAATTTGCTCTTACTCCCTTCGTTATAAGTGCCTCCCAGATAAATGGCCATATACCAGGGAACATCCTAGAACATGCTGGTCCCTCTGAGGGCACAGGGAGGGCTTCTCAGAGGTGGTGACCAGAAGGAGCATGGCACAGAAGAGCAGCAGGACCCTCGGCGGAGTCTGGAGAACAGAAGAGGCACGCACGATCCTTTGCTTTTAAGGAGCCCTCGGGGCTCCAGCGGGCCCCGGGCCCTGGAGCAGGCTCCAGGCACTTGCTCGCACAGCAGCAAGTGCACACGGAACAGCTGTTGGAAAGCGCTCCGAGGAGACGTGGAGGCCAGTGGCTGTTTAGATTAGTTTTCTAATTGGCTGAGTGTTAGCAAAGCCTCTGTGTATACAAGGGGAATAGTTAATCTTGTCTATTTGTATATCCACTCATGTTCTGTCATTCCCGGATCTTCTCAGCTGTCCGCCTCGTACTGTTGGTTTCGGGCCCAGGGTTTAAGTGGACGGGACTCTTTCTATGTGACCCCCAGCCCGGGGCGCGGGGGGAGGGGGGAGGGAAGAGACAGCTGGAGGATAGTAACCAGGAGGAAAATGATTCCAACACTGTCCACCCCATCCCCACCCTCATCACTTCCCATCTTCCTTGGCGTCATGTCCCTCACCCACGCTCCACTGGAAGTGCCCATCTTACCTCCGCACACATCCCAGTCATCGGGACCCATGCATTTACAGGAAGTGGCCTTACCCAGGTCACCTCATAGGTCCAGCACCGTCTTGCACTGTCCGTCAGTCTGACCCACCCACACAGCACATTCTCGGAAAGGCTCCCCTTTGCTGACTCTGTCCATCTATCCACATGCTTCTGTCCACCCTTCAGGGCCCTCCAGTTCTGGCGTGGCCCCCACAAACCCATCTTCCTAGTGACTCCAGTAGAGGCTCAGGCAGGGATGCCACCAGGTTCCCCGACTCCCTGAAACACCCACCCCAAGTTTGTTGGTTTCCTCTCCAATCAGACGGCAGGCACCTTGAGGTCAGGCACCGAGACATCAACTCCCTACCCCTGCCAGACCCCTAACCCAGGTAAAAGGCAGATGTGCCTGCCTTGATTGAGAGTGAACGCGGGAACGACACAGATAAGGCTGGGAGGATGTCTCAGGACAGGAAGGTCCTCTCTCAACTGCAGAACCAGCCACCTGGCTGGGGGGCTCTTGCCTGCGTCCTTCCCGGCCACTTCCTTCCCCAGAACCCTACCTAAGGCCCCTAGATGTCTGTTCATGATTTTCTTTCCTTTGGGACCTAAGTATGGTCAGATTTCCTCCTGGTCATTGTTGCAAGCTCCGCCAGTCAGACATGCGCTTAACATAATGGTCCCTTAATATAATGGCCCCTTACATTTGGGCGTGAAGGGAGCTGGGGGGCAGGAGTTCTGTATATACGGTCATGCTCATGACGAATGCGTGGCAGGGAGAAGATCCACACTTGAAAATGCTCTGACTGAACGATCCACACTTGAAAATGCTCTGACTGAACGATCCACACTTGAAAATGGGACTGACTCTCTTCCCCCCCCCCCCCCCCGCGCCCCGGGCTGGGGGTCACATAGAGATTTTTATTTTATTTTATTGATTTTTTACAGAGAGGAAGGGAGAGGGATAGAGAGCCAGAAACATCGATGAAAGAGAAGCATCGACCAGATGCCTCCTGCACACCCCCTACGGGGGATGTGCCTGCAACCAAGGTACAGGCCCTTGATCGGAATTGACCCTTCAGTCCCCAGGCCGATGCTCTATCCACTGAGCCAAACCGGTTTCGGCATGACTTGAGATTTGCTTTTGGGGATTCTCATTCAGAGAATTATAAAATGATGACGATGCAAATGAGATAAACAGGAAGTTAGAGAGGTGTTGGCGTTCCATTCTCTACCGATCTTAGATACAACCACAGCTGCTATTCATTGAAACCCCTTTAAGTGCCAGACTCGTTACAAAAAGGATCATCGTTAGTCTGCAAGACAGTTCTGCGAAGAAGCATTAGGATTCTCCCAGTTGGAAACCGGGGCTCAAAGATTAGGTAGGTCGTTTAAGATTACACAGTAAGTACCAGGGCCAGGATGGGAGCCCAGGCTGCTCGACCCCCCCAAACCTTTGCCCTTGACCTCTGCGGCCGGCGGATGGCATCACATCACAGTTTGTTGTTCAGAGGGACTTCATAGGAATGCCGGAGAGAGGAGCTGGAGGCTGAGGTTCCTCCTCCTTTTCCAGGAAGCGCCCCGGGGTCTGGGATCCTTCCCAGGCGAGGGAGCACAGCCCTCTCCTTTGCAGGAGTGGGCAGCTGGCAGGAGCACCGCATTCTTGAGGCCCCAGGCTGCCTTTTTATCTCGGGGAGCTGTGATTTACGTGCCTCTGTCTTATCTCGGCCCAGGCCCTGGTGATGGATTTCACCTTCGGCATTTGGAGTGGTTGTTCCCTGCCAAGAGCACTCCCCCCCCCAGAAAGACAGATCGGCAAGGAGACAGCCCAGGGCTCCGAGCTCTGGATCCACCCTTCACCTCTCCGCCTCCCCCAGCTCAGGTGCAGAGAGGAGGGAGGACTCATGCTGTCTGCTTGCGAGGTGGCCCCCGTCAGCCCAGCCGGGAGAACACTGCCTTCCCTGGGTCTGGCCCTACTTGAGATGTGTAGGGGGAGGAGGAGGAGGAAAAATAATAATAATATTCATGTAGTACTGTCCTCTTTGCTATGAACATTTGTGTGTGTGTGTGTGTGTGTGTGTGTGTGTGTGTGTACAGGTTTCATCTCCACAACAGCTAAATAAAACAGCTTTTGTATTCCCTTTCTACAGATGGGGAGACTGAGGCTCAGCAGGGCGAGAGTCACAAAGACCAGTGTAGAGTTGGGTGTCCACCTGGTGTCTTCTGACCTCAAGTTCTGTTATTTTTTCTAAAATATATTTTATTGATTTTTGAAGAGAGAGGGACAGAGAGTCAGAAACATCGATGAGAAAGAAACATTGATCAGCTGCCTCCCGCACACCCCCTACCGGGGATGTGCCTGCAACCAAGGTACATGCCCTTGACCAGAAGCGAACCTGGGACCTTTCAGTCCGCAGGCCGACGCTCTCTCCACTGAGCCAAACCGGTTTCGGCAAGTCCTGTTATTTTTCATGTGGCATCAAGGAGGAGAGTTTTGTCTTTTGGAAATACAGGTCTTCCCCGATCCCTCCATTTTTTACTTCTTCAAAACAGAGTTGCAGCTCAGACCAGGCCGGATTCTTGTGCAGTGGAGAGCTCCAGGGAGGGGCGTGGCCCGCAGGAGCGGGTGGGGAGCCAAGGCTGAGTTAGGGAGACTGGAGGTGGGAAGTCAGACCTAGAAGGGAGAAGGTGGGGCGTCAACCCCCTTCTCGTGCAAAGGGAATCAACCGTGAAACCATTTCTCAACAACCAGGCATTGGAACGGTCCAGTGGCTGACTCATGCTCACACGAGACCAGAGCTCAGGAGAAAGAGAGGCGACTAGCATTAACTGGGGTTCTGTGGGTGCCAGGCATGCAGCTAGCAAATGTACTGATTTGATTTGATTTGCATAAACAAATCTTCACCATCTTTCGTTCGGAGGAGGCTGAGCTCGGTCAGGCGTCTTCAAACTATGGCCCGCGGGCCACATGCGGCCCGCAGAGGAGTCTGATCCGGCCAGCCAGGTTTTTTGTGCAGTGAGCGCAGCCGAGGTGTTACAGTAGGAATTAGTAGATCATATAGTCCGGCCCTCCAGCTCTCTGAGGGACCGTGATCTGGCCCCCACTTTAAAAAGTTTGAGGACCCCTGGTTAGATCATCTGCGTATGGCCTTCTTGCCGCCGGTAAACTATAGAACTCTAATCTGAATCCAGGTTCTACCCCACATCTGTCAGTAAACTAGAAACCTCTCTTTCTCATGTATCCTGGAGGGTGGCCATCTCCCCATCAGGCTCAATTTGCTCTGTTAAGCTGTCAAGTCTTTCTTGGTCATTTAGCACATCTAGACAGTTATGATTAGATTTGGATGTTCTAAACCTCGCAAAAATAGCAAAGGAATAATAGGGGGGGACGGGGAGGGGAGAACGAGGAAGACAAGAGAATTTTCTAGAAATATAAACTCGAGGTTCAGATGCTCTTTCCATCCTCATTGATAGGACAGCTGTTGTGAGGGCTCATTCATCACCAAAGCCCCAGCATTTCATCTCAGCCCACACGCCACTCGTGTCTATAGCCGAAAACCTCAAATAGCAATTCTGCTCGCCCAATATTAAAATCAGACTTGTTAGTGACATCTCTGGGTTTGTAAAGAAAATTAACGGTAACTTAAATTCATAAATATTCCAGCACATATGGAAGAAATGGGGATGGTTTCCATTTTGGATGCGTGGCAGGTAATTGGACTCAAGGTTCTCTTGCTAGCTAGCTCCCTTCCCACCATCATTCCTTGGAGGTTCAGGAGTGGAGGCCTGCCAGCTACTGCCATTGACACAAAGCATCATCGCCTCTGCCTGTCGCTATCCCCTCTCCGTTCTTGCTGTGGAGTCAAGAAGTGGGTCATGCCAAAACCGGTTTGGCTCAATGGATAGAGAGTCAGCCTGCGGACTGGAAGGTCCTGGGTTCGATTCCGGTCAAGGGCATGTACCTTGGTTGTGGGCACATCCCCAGTGGGGGGGGTGCAGGAGGTGGCTGGTCAATGATTCTAACTCTCTATCCCTCTCTCTTCTTTTCTGAAAAAAATCAATAAAATATATTTTTTTTTAAAAAGAAGTGGGTCCTTCCTTCCTTCCTTCCTTCCTTCCTTCCTTCCTTCCTTCCTTCCTTCCTTCATGGATGCCACAAGGAGACATCCTCTCCAAGGAGAAGGTCAGGTGACTCCTGGGGAACGCCAAGGAGAAGGCAAGGCCACGTGGCACCACGTGAGAGGTCTCCTCCCAGTCACTTCGATAGACCTTGTTCAGAATGGCATTCAGGACTCAGCAGGAGACTTGATTATGTCACTGTCCTTTCTTGAGATTCTGCCATCTGGATGGCGGGTGTCCCCTTTACACTATCCTGACCATAAGGGCCACAACTAGGGAACATAACCCAAAGACTGGCAGGGGAAGGCCTTTGGTGGGGAAGTGGAGAGAGTTCATGCCAAGAGTCCTAATGCTGCCGGGCCGGTGTGGCTCAGTGGTTGAGCGTCGACCTATAAACTAGGAGGTCACAGTTCCATTCCCAGTCAGGGCACATGCCCAGGCTCGATCCCCAGTGTGGGGCGGGCAGGAGGCAGCCAATCAATGATTCTCTCTCCTCATGGATGTTTCTCTCTCCCTCTCCCTTCCTCCCTGAAATCAATAAAATCTTTATATACAAAGAGTTCTGATGCTGCCTCTATGAGGCCCATTCTTGCCATCTCGAGCAAGTCTCCTCCTCTGCCAGGGCTTCTGTTTGCTGAACTAGTTGCTGGATCATCCTGAAGGTCCCCTTCTTTCCTGAATGTTCCCGCGCTGCCTCGGGGCCAACCTCATGGTTCTCAGAAGAGACCTCCCAGCTGCACAGGCATGTGGCCTGCAGGAGCAAGCCCGGAGCCCAGGGTCTGGCCGGTCCATGTGCATCGGAGGTCCCAGATTGCCCTGCACCCTAGCAGAAGGGGGCAGTCTGAGCCCCAGCCCAGACTGTTCCCTGTAGCCTGCATGTTTGCAGCTGGGGCCCGGCGGGGGGGCTCCGTGGACGTCAGGGAGCGCCGGGCGCCCGTGTGAGTGAGTGTGTGTAAGCGTGCAGTGTGTGAGTGTTTATTTATCCTAGGGCCAGTTGCTAAGTCGGGGGTGTTTGCCAGCAGAAAGCTGCCTGAGTGCCGTGTTTGTTTACTTAGCCGAGTGCAGGGAGGGACAAGGGCTAGACAAGTGCAGACTGCAGAGCGCGGCTTAGTCATGGGGCCCCTTTCAATGGCCCCATTCTACGGGTTCTGCTGGATCGAGGGAGCCCCCTCGGGGAACGCAGGCTGTTTGCGTTCCTCACCGAGGACTCTTATTTCTGCCTCCCCTCCTCCCGGCAGGCCGGCCATGATAGGATTGCTGTTCGCCAACCGGGGCTGCTGGCCTTCTTCCCTTCGTGCTGGGCATCTCCTGGCTGCAGGGCCTTGAGAGAAGGGAGAGGAAAAAAAAGAAGGGGCAGTGGTCAAATGAAAGAACAATGGACTGTGTCTGACCACTGACCAGTAATTGCAAGGCCTTTGGGAAGTCACTGAGCCTCCCTGGACCTCAGTTGGTTCTGCGTCTCTAGAATGAGGGGAACCCAAGAGTCCCCTGCAGCTGTACAGGCATTTCTTCCAAGAAGACTTGGAGAGCCCTGGCCTGGGTGGCTCAGTGGTTTGAGTTTCAGCCCACACACCTAAGGGTCTCAGGTTCAATTCGCAGTCAAGGGTTACAGGTACCCTCACCCTGGTCAGGGCTCATGTGGGAGGCAGCCAGTTGAGGTGGCTCTCTCACAATGATGTTTCTCTCTCCCCTTCTCCCCCCTCCCTTCCACTCTCTCTATAATCAATGGGAAAAAATATCCCGTGGTGAGGATTAACAAAACAAACAAACAAACAAACAAACAAACAAAAAAGACTGGGAGACACACACCAGCTCCTTCCCGTCCCGTCCCGCTGGACCTGTCAGCACAGAGCCTGCACCTCCAGGCTCAGCAGCACTCCCGGCCCCTGCTCCCCTTACCCTCCCTTCCCCCCGCCCCAGCATTCCCAGCCCTTAGCTTAGCCTTGGCCCTTCCAGCAGGCATCTGGACCCAGGACCATCCTGTTCGTCCAGGTTAAGTAGCATTATGCACCCCTGTCTTCAGGATGGAGAGAGAGGAGACCCCTGCCCCCTCGCCCCCCACCCTGGCCCTGTCCGTCCCAGCCTCAGGCCGGAAGTGGATCTCCCCAGCAGTGGAGCTGGCTGACTTTGGGGCCCTACTTCCCAGCTGGTGGCCCCAGGCACTCCCAGAAGCCTCTGCTTCCGTGCTCCCCCCCCCCCCGCCAGAGGCCGCGGTGGTGTGTCTGCGGGTCCCAGGGAGCACTGGCTCCCTGACAGGCTGGCTGGCAGCCAGGGCGGGGTTCTGGCTCTGGCAGCAGCCAGAAGGGGTGGCAGGAAGGCTGCTGATCCCCTGGGAGAGAGCTCCTTGGCAGGCAGAGAGGAGAGGCTGCCTGACTCAGCCCTGCCTCGGGGCCACAGAACATAGTACCCCAAATCTGCCAGGCTGGCTCCGTGCCCCAGTGTCTGCCCACACCCCGGGGGCTTGGGTGGGGCTGCCAGCTGGGCCTTTCGGGACGGGAATCTATAGCTTCTTCCTGCTCCTCTAAAAAACCTGGATGCATTATGAAGAGATAGGGTTATTAGCCCTTGGTCCCCTCTGGTCTGCCGCCTTCCTGGCTCCCCTTGGCCCTGGGACATTCCGGACAGGGTTTGGAGAAGCTGCCAGGACTCAGGGCTACTGACTCCTCCTCCTCCTCCTTATGCCAACTCCCCTTCCCCCCTCTGCCCCAACACACACACACACACACACACACACACACACACACACACACACCTGGAGCCAGCCTGCTGCCCCCGAGGCTGCTTGTCTGCCGATGCCACATAGAAACAGGAGAAGAGCTGGGAAAATCACCCAGAGAGACTCAGTGTGGAAAAGCAGGGGAGAGAGGGAAACCAGCCACAGAAAGGGGGGCCCTCTGGGGAGGTGGGGCTGCACTGGCAGACCTCCTCTGTCCTCCTGGGGAACCGGGGCTGCGGAGGCGCTCACCCAGCGGGCATGCCATCCTGAGGGTCTGCCAGGCCCCCGATCCTCCAGCGGTCCTGCCCAGTCCCAGACTTGTCCAAGGCGATTCCTGCCCCCTTAAGCCAGTCCCTCCTCAGGCATGGCTGGGAACTCAGTGAGCCTGTCTCCGAGGGCCCACCTGTCATTTCCCATCTGCCTCTGCCTTGCCTCCATCCGCATCCCTCGCAGGATGGTACCTACAGGCTTTGAACTTGGCATGGGAGCGTGATGGATTTCACTCTTTCTTTTTTCTTTTTTTTTCTTTTTTTCTTTTATATATATGTTTTATTGATTTTTTACAGAGAGGAAGAAAGAGAGATAGAGAGTTAGAAACATCGATGTGAGAGAAACACCGATTAGCTGCCTCTTGCACACCCCCTACCGGGGATGTGCCCGAAACCAAGGTACATGCCCTTGAGCGGAATCGAACCCGGGACCTTTCAGTCCGCAGGCCGACGCTCTGCCCACTGAGCCAAACCGGTTTCGGCGGATTTCACTCTTTCTAACAGCAGAGAGGAAGCAAGCCTGGTCTCCATTGGAGAGATGTCTGCTTTCCCGAGGGAGCCGGAACCACCCACCTCCCCTGGGCCCAGAGGGTCACGTAAGGGCTGTCTCCAGGCGGGGCCGGCACCACAGCCCCAGGAGGGACAGTCCTCGGGGGGGAACTGACCGCTCGGCCCCTCCAGGCCACAGCGCGGTTCTGGCATGCCCAGAGGGAAGGCTCCTGGCCAGGCAAGGCCACTGGGTGTCCAGGTGGCCCGTTCCCAAACCCACGTCCATCACAGATCCCTTCCCAGAAACTTCCCGAGGCGGGGAAGTCACAACCGGAGTCGATTGTTTGGATCGGGAAAATCTGGGTATAATGTCATTCGAGAAGCCCGCTCTCCTCGCACGAACCTTCGCCTGCAACCTCTCCCTGCTGCCCGGCCCCTCCGCGCCTCCGCCTGAGTCACGGCAGCAATCAACGACTTGGACTCTGAGCCCTGGGACCAGCCAAGTGCTCCCACGCGCCCATGACATTGACTCCTCCTCACGGGGAGAAGTTCCTGTTACCGCCGCCCGCCTGTGCAAGCCGAGGGTGGGGACCTGACTTGCCATCTTGGGCTCTTTCCATGCAATCCCTTCTGCCAGGTGCCGGGAGATGTGCAGGGAAGGGATTGTTGACCTGACTGGCTTCCAGCTGGGCCTTTTGTGGGGGCCTTAGCTCCCCTCCTCCAAATCCCTAGGAGCTGAGGGGGTTTTCTGAGAGGCCCTTCTCTCTTCTGTGACTCACTGCCTTCCCCCATTCCCTTCCCTCCCCCCCAACCTCCTTCCACCCCCAGGTCTCCTTCCTGTCTGCCTGCCAGGCCAAAGCTTGTCTTTCTTCTATCTCAGTGTCACCCCCTCGCCGCTCCTCCTGTGCTTCTGTACTTCTAACCCCCACCCCCACCCCCACGTTCTCGGCCCTGCTCTGGGAGGAGGGCGGGGCCACCTGGGAAGGTGCCAGCCGTCTCAGGGCACTTGGCTCTTATTAAGGCCGCCTCATGTGCCCTCACTGGAGCTCTGGTTTCGCTGTGGAACCTGAACTCCGCGGGGACACTTTTTGGCTTTGGACGGAACTCTCTGGGACCTCTCCCTGCCCTCAGACTTTTTATGGGACCTCGGACAGGAATGCAGATCCTCCCCTCGGTGCCGCACCACCACCCCCCAACCCCTGCTCCGGGGCCTTGCCTTGCAGAGCAGGACACGGGAGCCCAGGTCCAGGCTCAGGAAGACAGGAGTGAGGGCAGAGGCACAAAACGGACTGTGTTTTCCTGCCCAGGAATCCAACCAGGCCCCGCAGGTTTTCCAGGGCAGCTGTGGTACCCCCACCTTCCCCACCCCCACCCCGTGACCTTGGAACCCCCACCCCAGGCCTCTCGGGGAAGATGATTGTGCAAAAGCCCAGTTTATCCCAAGTAATGCAACACATACATTAGAGGGGGTGGTGGTGGGAGTTGCGGGGGCAGGGGGGGGGGGAGGTTTTATCCAAAACACATGCTATTGCCACTATTCCAGTTATCTGGGATATTTGCTGCATGTTTGTCACCATGGCAACTGACTCAGCACGAAACCTTGTTTGCTGGGCCATGGGGTCCGGCGCAGCGGCCATGTGGTGTCAATTTGGGCCTCTCGGTGTTTTTCTGTCTCCCCCAGCTTGCATCTCTCTGCCTCTTTGTCTCTGTCGCTGGGCCTCTCCGTTTTCTTGTGGCAGGAAATGGCCGCTGCTGTGTCCCTAGGAGACGGACATGGAGACAGTGCCCAGCTCTGCTCACCCCAAACCCCCGCTCTGCACTCCTCACAGTCCTCGGCTCAGAGGTCCCAGGATGGACGGGAGAGCCTCATTGTACGGACTCGCAGGAGGCCGGCCTGCGGTGGAGAAGGGCTTGGCCAGGGTCTGACCTCTTGTTTGGAATGGCCCCGTGCTGCCTGCCTTCCGATGGCCCCACGGGAAGGACGGGCCTGGGTTCTGGCAAACACGGGCTTGGTTTCTGCGACACTTCCCCTGTGTGTAGGTGTGTCGTCTCCACACCTCGAAGCCTTTAAAAAATTTTTCTTATTGATTTCAGAGAGGAGGGGAGAGGGAGAGAGAAAGAGAGAAACATCAATGATGAGAGAGAATCATTGATCGGCTGCCTCCTGCACACCCCACACTGGGGCTCAATCCTACAACTTGGGCAGGTGCCCTGAATGGGAATAGAATCGAACAGTGACCTCCCAGTTCATAGGTCAACGCTCAACCGCTGAGCCACGCCGGCCGGACTCCTGGGAGCCTTTCCTCTCTAGACCTTTGAAGGAGATGCAGGTACAGACGAGCAGAGGAGGGAGAGAGAGGGCAGAGCAAAGGGCAGGAGCTCCCCAGGAGGGGAAGAGCCGGGCAGCCAAAGGCCAGTGAGGTCCAGAGCACTCTTGTCTCCCAGGCGCTGGCGGTCCCCGGTCCTCCCTCAGGGCTGAGGCAGAGCCACTGGGACCGCGGGTCCCTCCACGGGGCACCGGGCCACAGAGAGCGTGTTGACAGCAGCAGCGTGTGAGGAGCTGGGCCAGCAGTCTGGAAAAGGTGGCGTGAGCAGACGAAATGTAAACAGGCCGCTCCGGGAGGTGAGGGCAGCTCCTGGCCCCGCTTCACCCCCAGGTCGTGCTCCCCTCCAAGCCCAGGAAGCCCGGTCTAGACAGTTGCTCTGTACCGAGTCTCCTGCACCCACGCCCTGTCCGGGAGGCCTCTCCGGGCCTCCTTCCCAAATGTCATACTTGCCCCTGGCGTGTCTTTCCTGCCTCATCCCAATTCTGGACAGACGCACGCTGGACCATTCCCATCTCAGGGACGTGCCCTCTGTCCAGGGCTCAGGGTCCAGCAGCATCCCTAGCTCAACTCAACATCCAAGGCAGTGATATTGGTCCTGTACGCTCCGTAGCCTGGAGTGAGCCCGCGGCCCTCTGTGGGCCTCTGCTTTTGCAATTGGACTAAGGACGCCGTGAAGGAGGAGCGGGCACTTCTGCAGAAGGGGATAGGCCCGAGACAAAGCCTAGGATCTGGAGGAATAAGGGTGGTGAGGTGCTAGGCCGGTGCAGGGCTCTGGTTCACCCCACAGGGGTGCTGTGAGGGATTCAAATCCAAGGAAGGGACCGTGGACTCCTCCCCATCATCTCAGTCCTCCCCACAGAGACCACAATTCTAGGCCCAACGGTCACCTCCCAGTGACTCAGTCTCTGGCTGCCCTCCTGCCCACGTCCAAGGCCAGGTCCAGTAACAGGAAGGGCTGTGGTGGGTGCAGGGCCGGGGACTGCTGTGGGCATGCCCTCCCCCAGGGTCTGGGTGTGCAAGGAGCCGTCTGGGCGGAGGAGTCCTGGACCTCTGGGCCGTGTCACCCTGTGCTGCCCCAGGAATGTGGGTTTGGGCTGTGACGGGGCGAGCCCTCCTCCCTCCGTCCTGAATACAAGCAGGCCACTTGTTTCTCATTAGCAGGCGGCAGGACGTCAGCCGGGCGGATGCACATTTCTGTCCGTTTGCTGGAACAGTGGGTAATGGTGGTGAGGTTGACAGGGCCCGCGGGACCCAGGGGGAGGGCTGCAGCCACAGGGAGCAGAGCCGTTTGGAGGCCAGAGGAAACCACTGTCGCTGCTGAAGCCCACGGCAGCTTGCAATGATGCAGACAGTAAGGAAAGGAGGGACTGACACACGACTGTAGTTATCGTAATATATGTATATTACTAGAGGCCCAATGCACAACATTGTGCACGGGGGTGGAGGGAGCGGGATGTCCCTTAGCCCAGCCTGCACCCTCTTCAATCTGGGACCCTGGGCAGATTTCCGACTGCCAATTTAGGGATCAGGCCTAAACCGACAATCAAACATCCCTCTCACAATCTGGGACTGTTGGCTCCTAACCACTTGCCTGCCTGCCTGCCTGATTGCCCCTAACCACTCTGCCTGCAACCCTGATAGCCCCCTAACTTCTCCCCTGCAGGCCTGATTGATGCCTAACTGCTCTCCTGCTGGCCTGATTGTCCCCAACTGCCTTCCCCTGTGGGACTGAAGGCACTGGGGGACTCCGGCCGGTTGAGACAGGGCTGAAGGGACTGGGGGACTGAGGCTGGATGAGGCAGGGCTGCCTGCTTGTGATTGTGGGCACAGCCATCTTGTGAGGGTGTGGCAGTTAATTAGCATATTCCCTCTTTAGTGGCTTGGTCACTGCCATCTTGTGAGGGCTTGAGAGTTCATTTGCATATTCTCTCTTTATTAAATAGGATAATGCTGGAGAAGCTGTGAGTCTAGTTGATGGTCATAATTGTTGTTAGTAATAATAGCTAGCATTCATTTATTGAGAACCCACCTGCGCTAGGTGGTTCATGCATAGTATTTCTTTAGTTCTCACAATAATTCTGTCTCACCGAAGAGGAAACTGAGGCTCAGAAAGGTTAAGAAAATGACCCCATTTCCACAGCTGGTATTTCTGATGTCTTTTTCATGATGACACATTGCATCTACCAGGGTCTAAACCTTGGTGTGCCATGGACACAGTCCGGTAAAACCTAACGGCACTTTTTGGAATAATGTTTGTTTGTTTTTTAAAAAAATAACATCAGATTTACAAAGGAAATCAATGATGTGGAAATGTAGCCGTCAACACATTAAGAACATGTGACATAGTGATATACGCTGCTTCTTTCCTAACTATTAATAGCTCATTAACTAACAAGGTCTAATAACTGTCATAATTTCAAAATAGGGATGAATGCTAACAATATTTTGTGATGTTGGCAAAAACTAAGTGATTACAAAGTCGCAGGTATTAATAATACCTGCATTCCTTTTTTAAAATATGTTTTTATTGATTTTTGGAGAGAGAGGAAGGGAAAAGGATAGAGAGCTAGAAATATGAATGAGAGAAAAGCATCGATTAGCCGCCTTCTACACACACACCCTACGGGATCGAGCCTGCAACACGGACATGTACCCTGACCTGGACTAGAACCGGTGACCTGGTTCATGGGTCAACGCTCCACAGAGTCACACCAGCCTGGCATACCTGTATTCACTTATGGAAAATAAAGAAGATTATAGCCTGATGAACAAAAAGATAGATACAGAGGCAGCAAAGCATCAAACAGACTGCCAAATTACAGCGGGAAGGCTGGGGAGTGTTGGGGTGAGGGGGAGTGGGTAAGAGATCAAGCAAAGGACTTGTGGTCTATGCTTTTTGATCAGCTCGGTCATCGCGATGGGGGGGAACTCATTGCAGCTCGTTGTGTGACGGATGGGGACCCATCTCTCCACTCCTCCGCGGCCTCGGAGCCTTGGGAGAGCAGGGACCTGGCTGCTCCCTCCACGGCCGAATCCCCAGGCGCCGGTGCCCTGTCTCTCCAATACAGGCTTGTTGAATAGAAAACAAAGAAAGAGGTCTCTCCTGGAATGCCAACAAGCTTGCTGGGAGACAAGGCTGACATATAAAACGGCTCACGACAACAAAGGCTAATTTGTGCCTAGCTGCCGCCAGATCGCTGGGCCCTCGCTCTGGGGGTTTTAGGAATTCGGAGGAAGAGGAAGGGGTATTCATTATCTCATGAAGACGCCGCTGGAGGCCACTCCTTCCAGGGGGGGGGGGGGAGGAAGAGAGCAGGAAAAAGACCATCCTTCACGTGTCTGCATCATTGCCAGAAACCTATCAGGCCATCGCTTCCTGGATCTCCCCGGCTCTCCCCGCTTTACACACGAGGAAACGGAGGCCCAGAGAAGCGAAGCAAGTCATCCAACGTCACACAGCAAGGAAGTGGCCCAGCCAGGCTTCAGACCAGGCGGGTCAGAGGTCAAGGCTTATGGTCTTACAATCAGACATAGGAAAGAAAGGGGCTGGCGCCGAAAATCGTTTGGCTCAGTGGATAGAGCATCGGCCTGCGGACTGAGGGGTCTTAGGTTCAATTCCGGTCAAGGGCATGTACATTGGTTGCGGGCACATCCCTGGGGGCCGGGGGGCGGGGGTGTGCAGGAGGCAGCTGATCGATGTTTCTAACTCTCTATCCATCTCCCTCTCCTTTCCTCTCTGTAAAAAAAATCAATAAAATATATTAAAAAAATAAAATAAAATAAAAAGAAAGGGGTGGCTCACCACGTCACTCCCGGGAGACAGAGAGAGTAATTTCAATGGGGCTCAGGCAGAACAGCGTCGTCTCTATGGTAACTCTGAAGGCTGGGCTAGTTCTGATGCTGAGCTCATGCCACCCACGGGCATGTCGAGTGGGTTCCGAGGTGCCCAAAAGCAAACAGGCCCTCCGGGCGACCCCAGAGCGGCTGCGAGCCCTTGGAGATGGCCCGAACGTGGACAGGCCCAGGGCCTGCGCACCGAGCCCAGCATCTGACCTTGGAGGGAGGCAGCAGAGCTGGGCTTTCGAAGATGTTTCTTCTTCTTCCACTGGGACCGTGTGCAACCTGTTATAAAGACCCAGGTAAGGCCGAAACCGGTTTGGCTCAGTGGACAGAGCGTCGGCCTGTGGACTGAAAGGTCCCAGGTTCGATTCCGGTCTGGCGCATGTGCCTTGGTTATGAGCACATCCCCAGAGAGGGGTATGCAGGAGGCGGCTGATCGATGTTTCTCTCTCATCGAAGTTTCTAGCTCTCTCTCCCTCCCCCTTTCTCTCTATAAAAAAGATCAATACAAATATATTAAAAAAAAAAAAAAAAAAAAAAAAAAGACCCAGGTGAGGAGCAAGGCGGTGTGCGGTGCGTGGTGACTGGGGGAGGAGCGGGAGGGGTCGCTTCTGCCAGGCTGACCTCAGCCGGATAATGTGATCAGCCTGTCATGGTCCTGAGCCCTGATTTGGGGAGAACAAAGAGTTCAGGCCCCTGCGCCTCCTCCAGCCCAGGAATGCAGCTGAGGCCCGGCTGTGACCAATCGGGAATGCAGGTCAGGAGCGAGGCGAATGCAGCATGCTCAGCGAGGCTTTCATGCACTGATGGGGGCCGGGCTCACAAAGCCGGGCTGACATGCCCCCGGGGCTTCCCGCTTTGATATCCCAGCCCTGCCTTGGGGGAGCAGAGTACCCCCAAGCCGAGCTGTCAGGCCCCGGCTGCCCTGCTGTGGCCCTTGAGGGAGTGGGGAGTCCGCATCCGTATTCCCTCCCAATCCTCCCATGTTCCCAGGTACCAGCATCCTCTTGTCCATCTCGCCATCCCGGGAAGTCTGAGAACTAGACCGGGGCTGGTGGGAAGGGAGCTTAGCCCCCTGCCTGTCCTCAGGCCTGGGAGAGAGGAATGCACAGACAGACAGATGTCCCACGGGAGAGGCTGCCAGGCCGCAGACAGCCACTGCTGGCAGGTCATGGAGACCTCTTGAGGCCGCCACCCCCTCCGGGGAGAGGAATAATGTTGGGGTTGGGGGTGTGTGTGTGTGTCTGACTCCTGGGTTAGACAGCTGAATGCGTCCTGCATTCCGAAGCTCCCGGCCTCCCCTCCCAGCGCCTGCGTCTGTTCCCAGTGGCCAGTTTGAGCAGTGTGGGGTCCTCTGAGCCTGCCCTTCTCTGCCCTCTCAATTATCCACTGCTCCCTCCCGCCCGCCTCCTGCATGCTCCCGGCACTTCCTCTCCCCCCCGGGTTTAACCGCGGCCAGTGCCTCACGGGTTACACACCACATGTATGTGCCCTGATCAATTGATCTTTAGAAAAAACAACAACTATGAAGCAAATGCCCTTCTCCTTACTTTGTGCAGGAAGGGGAAATAAAGCAGAAAGGAGGCTTTGGGAGGCAAGAACTTGAAGACCATTGGGTGGCACGCCCAGGGATGGGACAGTTGTGTCACATGATGACAGGGGAGGGGATGGATAGGATGTCAAGGCTCCAGGAGCTGAAGATGTCCAGAATGTGGGGACCAGGAACGTGGAAGGACTCATGGGAGGTGCAGATTAAATCTCTTGGGAAGACCTGAATGCTACCACTGAGATCTAAATGACTCCAAGTGTGCCTCCATAATATATATATATATATATATATATATATATATATATACACACACTAGAGGCCCGGTGCACGAAATCTGTGCATGGGGAGGGGATGGTCCTTCAGCCCGGCCTGCACTCTCTTGCAATGGGGGACCCCTTCTGGGATGTCCAACTGCCAGTTTAGACTTGATCCCACCCTAAACCAGCAGTTGGACATCTCTCTTGCAATCTGAGACTGCTGGCTCTTAACCACTTGCCTGCCTGCTTGATTGCCCCTAACTGCTCACCTGCCTGTGTGATCGCCCCTAACCGCCTCTGCCTTGACCCCCGCTGCCGCAGCTTTGTTCAGAAGGATGTTTGGCTGTCTGGTCTAATTAGCATATTATGCTTTTATTATTATAGATTTTGTCGTTGTTGTTGTTGTTAATCCTCAACCCAATGATATTTTCCCATTGATTTTTAGGGAAAGTAGAAGAGAGAGGGAAAGACAGAAAAAAACATCAATGTGAGAGGGAGACTCATCAATTGTTTGCCTCCTGCACAAGCCTGACCAGAGCTCAGACTTGGGAGGAGCCTGTAAGCAAGGTCGGTGCCCTTGACCGGAATCAAACCCAGAATCCTTTGGTCCTCAGGTCGATGCTCTATCCACTGATCCAAACCGGCCAGGGCTCACGTGTGCCTCTTAAAGAGGTTAGTTCTTAGGCTACACGTGCCATGGCAGTGAGAGAGCCTGAAGCATCTCTACTGGGGGAAGAGCTGAGTGGACGGACAGAGGGAGGGCTTTCCCAGAGAGACTCCGGGCCTTCGGAGCGCAGCACGGCTCCCAGCTGGGATTCACCAGATGGGATTTTGATGGAGTCGGAAGCACGTGTGGGAGGAGCCCTGGCGTCCCCTCCATAATCGCTCTCCCAGAGCCACGGTGTGAGAAGCGGAGAGTCCTGAGAAAGCATCCTGGCCTTTGGTGGAAGGAAAAAGCTTGTTGCAACCCTGCTTCGCCAAGTGCTGGTGTGGTTCCTTCAGGCTCTGGCAGCCCTGGGTTCCTGTCATTCCGGAGAGAAAACCCTCTCTCCTGTATCCGGAGGGAAAGGTCCTGGGAGGGACTCTGCACAGGAGCAGCTTGAGGGGTGCTCGCTACCCCAGGCCAGGTCACAGTGGCCCCGGAAACAAAGTGGAGGTTTGAACAACAGATTAGAGAATGCAGGGGAGGGAACAGGACCCTGGAACAGAGGGACAGCACGGGCACTGCTTCTACGTGCAGCATGAGCTAGGCAGTCACCCCCACGTGTGCTCACTCCAAAGCAAGTTCATTACAGCATTTAGAAGCAACCTAGGCTCTGGCAGGGTAGCTCAGTTGGCTATAGCATCATCCGGATGCACCAAGACAGTGGGTTTGATTCCCGGTCAGGGCACATAACAATATATCTACATTTCTCTCTCTCTCTCTCTCTCTCTCTCTCTCTCTCTCTCTCTCTCTCTCTCTCTCTCTCTCTCCTTTCTCTCTCTCTCTCAAATCAACCAATCAAAAAATGTTAAAAAGAAACAACCTCTCTTTTTATTAATAGGAAGACAGGTGAATGAATTATGGGATCTTTATGGAACCCTATGCAGCTGATAAAACGATTGACATAGAACTATAAATCTGCATATGGAAAATGCCTATGATATATTCAATACAGAAAGCCTGTTTCAGAACAGTCTACATAATATTTTCTCACTTCTGCAAAACAGAACAAAACAAAACCCTGTGTATTTATATATGTATGCATTTAACATCCACTCTTTAAAAGTTTGGAAAGCTATACACTAAACTGTTAACATGGCCTCTATATACTGACATATTTTCAAAATGTGTTTTTTTTTGTTTTTGTCTTGTTTTTTAACCAATGGCATATATTGCTCTTGTATTGGAAAACAAAGATAAACGGAAAGGAAAAAAATCTAATACTCTGATTCTGTAGAAAAGGAATATACAGTACAGGACAAGTCAATGAGCCCGGCCAGTGTGGCTCACTGGCTGAGCGTTAACCCATGAACCAGGAGGTCATGGTTCGATTCCCTATTAGGCACATGCCCAGATTGTGGGCTTTATCCCCAGTAAGGTGGAGGTGTGGGGGGTGGGGAGAGAAGGCATCGATAGATTATTCTCTTTTATCATTGATATTTCTATCTCCCTCTCCCTTCCTCTCTGTGAAATTAAACAAACAAATAAACAAACAAAAAACAGCAGCCAATGACATGCACCAGATCACAGGCTGGAAAATAAGTGGTTCTTAGAATCCTAGCCTTCAACTGCCCAGGAGGTGAACTTTCTGTAAGTGTCTGTCCAGTCAAGCTGCAGGGACAGGAGGGTGGTGGGGACACAAGAGGAACCGGGGTGTCCACGAGGCAGGAGCAAAACTGAGGGGTGGCGTGGGTGTCCATCCTTTCTGGGTCTTGCTGGTGCCAGGGACGCACCCCCGACCCTGTAAGCATGTCCCACCGTGGCGACACACACTGAAGGCCAGGAACGGGTTAAGCCAGCGTCCCGGCTGGAGAAGGAGAGCCCTGGGTCTCCCGAAACATGAAAGGAGCTCAGTGGCTCCCGGTGGTAATGAGAAGTGAGGAGGCTCAGGTCGGAATCAATTAGAGTCTCCATCCGAAATGCAAACCAGGTTCTTGACCGAATGCCCTCTGTCCCTCATCCTGGTGCCGGAGTCCCAGAGGGAGAAAAAGAGGACAATTCAGCCTTTGGAGCTCTGCCTTATGGAGGCCACAGCTGTGTGCTGGCGATGGGGGGAGGGGCGGCCCAAGAAGGGGAACGTGGGCAGCTCGGCCAGTCCTTCCTTACTCCCACGTTCCCCCGACCCAAACCCTGAGCAGCCAGGCTTTGCCCATGCTACCTTCTTCCAGCTTCCTGGGGATGGGCTGAGATCTGGGGCCCTGACAGACATCAGGTGCTTGAGTAATTACACTGGTAGAAGTCCATATGCCTGTGATGCGCCCCCCACCCCCAAAGACTCGGGAATTAGTGACGTAAGATACTTTCAGAAGGGGAAGGCACTGAAAACAAGAAGATCAGTTGAAAATCTGCTCAAAGGAAATGTCTCCTACACTGCCCTCCCATTCTCAGCAAAGACTAAACCTCTCTCGGGTGGAGATCTTTCTCTAGAGTCTAGAGGATATTGAGTAGTTTCTGGACGGGGGGGACCTGATGCGCAGAGGCACAAGAAAACATGAGAATTAGATAATTAAGTGCAGGTTTGTCTTTTGATGTCTATGGAGTGTTGAGACCGCCAGCCTTCTATCCCTGGATGGTGAAGGCCAGGCTTATGTTTTCCAGGCAGCAGACCAGATAGTTTCTTTGGGAAACTTTATGAAATGACTACAAGAGTTTCTCAAGGGAATGGCTTAGTTAGATCATCCTACAGTGACTTTTAAAACTGAGGAACCCTGCCCAGGCGCTGGTGAGCACCTCTGTACAGCTTTTTAGTTCCCTGCCATAAGCAGGCAAGGAGCGCCAGACTGTGGGAGAAAGCTTCTGCTATGAAAATGAAAGACAAACCATCTTGGAGAAAACAATTTTTTTAATTGATTTTTTTTTTTTTTTTTTTTTTTTTTTTTTTTTTTTTACAGAGAGAAAGGGAGAAGGATAGAGAGTTAGGAACATCGATGAGAGAGAAACATCAATCAGCAGCCTCCTGCACACCTCCTATTGGGGATGTGCCTGCAACCAAGGTACTTGTCCTTGACTGGAATCGAACCTGGGACCCTTGAGTCTGCAGGTTGACTCTCTATCCACTGAGCCAAACCAGTCAGGGCTGGAGGAAACAATCTTCAGGAAGAAGAAAACTCATCTACTTAGAACAATGTGATATTGCCTCTAAAAGATGAAGATGGGATGTGACAAGACAAACATTCTCAGGGGACAAAAATAGAGCTCTTGAAAATTAACTATGATAGGAGTACTTTTTTTTTTTTTTTTTTTTTTTTTTTTTAAGTAAAAGGTAATCATAGCTAAACAAGTTGAAGAGGCCTCAGAATGTAGAGGAAAAAGTTAGGAGAAAAGAAATCAGAAGGCACATTCATGATGGCTAACATCCAAATGATAGGAATTCTAAAAAACAGAGAATAGAGAAAACAGAGGTTCAAAGTAATCAAAAGCAGAATTCAAGAAAGTTTCCCCAGTCTTCATGTGAGTTTCCAGATCCAAAGAGCCCACTGAGTGCCCAGAACAACCAATGAAGGGCACACCCACCCTGCACGCCCCCTCCTCCTCTTTCCCCCCTCGCCCCCCCGCCCCGACAGGTGCATCACCATACACTTTCAGCAGTTAGAGACAAACTTCAAGAAAATGAGATGGATAAAATACCTAAGGAATTTGAAATATGGAG